AGAAATGTAGGTAATGCAAACGAGATATATGTCGTCTAATGCTTATGGTAGATGTTTCACGTTGTAAAATCAAGTGTGCATTAGATGTTATATGTATATGGTATTAGAGGTTTTTTGTATTTTATCATTTGCATAAGACGTTTTAGGTATTTGTTATTGCATTATATTACATTTGTGTTTTGAATTAGACATTTCTGCATAGCATTAGGTTTTTGCCGCTTTCCCCCGCCATATAGATAGGTCTTGCAAATTTGATGGACGTGACAATATATAATCAAGAACGGTGGTGTCTATTTTGTGATACTACACCTGTTGATTTTAGGAGAATTGTGGCAATATGGAAACAGTGTTGAGTATATACTATACAATTATGTAAGAATCAAATTGTCAACAAGGCAAATAATTGAATGCTAATATATAGACAATGCCAGGTGTGTTTTGATCGCAACAAAGATCAGGATTGCGTGAGATATTATAATGTTATTCTAGATCACGTATAAACTGTTTTTCGTTTGTTTATACCCCCTTCACAAACACGAATTTTCTTACTAGTCCTTACGAATCGCTAACTCGTAGTTAACCGCTAGCATCCGTAAATAATCTGTAAAAAAAAAACTCGTAACAACTCGCAACAAGTTGCAGGCACTCGTAAGGATTCGTGAAGGGAGAGGAAAGTTTTTTGACATGTCAAAAATCTACTTAAAATTGTCCACGATGTCTTTTTTTCGCAAATAGCTCGTAACAATCCGTAGGTATCGCAAACTGCTTACCCACAAAAACACGTGATCATCCGTAAATTGCTCGCAAGATTTTTAAGATTTATTACGGCAAGTTTACGATTTGTGTGAGTTATAACGAGCAGTTTTTGTGTAGTTACGAGTAGATACGTTTGTATAGTTTTCTGTTTGGGGAAATGAATTAAGCTACAAAATCTGTAAATACTCGTAACTATACATAACAAACCGTTCACAACTAGTTATCCATGACAACAATCGGATTTTGTTGTCAATATATAAGATACTTGCGGTTGACTAAGAGTTGGTAATTCGTAAGGACTCGTAAGAAAAATTTTATATGTTCAGGGGGCATTATCCAAGTACAATAAGTACAAGCTAAAAAGCTTTAAAAAAAAGGTTCTTCGTGCCATCGAAGTATTTCAGAACTTGTCAAATTTTAAACCGTGTTTCGACATATTTATTTCACAAAATGTGTAAACCCAACCCAATAAATGTCACTTCAACCTATTTGGTACATTAATATCATTCAATCGTATCATAAAAAACTCAGTCACTGCGTATTTAACAAACACGGATGTAGACAAATATAAATTGAAAACACTTCAATCGTATATTATTATCTGTATATCAACCCACCGGATAGCTATACTTATACAGTTTTTTACAGGTTTTAAGATGAAGATATTAATCGCTGCGGTTTGTTTAACGTTGGTGGTTTCATCAGAAGCGATCTTTATCTCATTTTGTTAGTTGATATTTTAATTTTTTTTAAAAAAGAGATATATATACCTGAATATATAGATATAGAGTTTTCCTTTTTGAAGTTTATCAAAAGGTTTATTTCGATCACTAAGATTGTAATCTGTACTATATTAATGCTTGTCTTGCTAATTTATCAAATGCATTAGTTTTGATTTTTGTTAGCTTGTGCTTTGAATGAAAAATATTTTAATCAATCAGTTTGAAGCAGATAGTCAATGTTTTTAATATTTTAGCTTGCCCTATTGGTTGTGCTGATAGTCAATGTTATTAATATTTTAGCTTGACCAATTGGTTGTTATGATAGCCAATGTTTTGAATATTTTAGCTTGCCCTATTGGTTGTGCTGATAGCCAATGTTTTGAATATTTTAGCTTGACCTATTGGTTGTTCTGATAGCCAATGTTTTGAATATTTTAGCTTGACCTATTGGTTGTGCTGATAGTCAATGTTTTAAATATTTTAGCTTGCCATATTGGTTGTTCTGATAGTCAATGTTTTTAAATTTTAGCTTGCCATATTGGTTGTGCTGATAGCCACTGTTTTTAATATTTTAGCTTGTCATATTGGTTGTGCTGATAGTCAATGTTTTTAATATTTTAGCTTGCCCTATTGGCTGTGCTGATAGCCAATGTTTTGAATATTTTAGCTTGTCATATTGGTTGTGCTGATAGCCAATGTTTTAAATATTTTAGCTTGCCATATTGGTTGTTCTGATAGCCAATGTTTTGAATATTTTAGCTTGCCATATTGGTTGTGCTGATAGCCAATGTTTTAAATATTTTAGCTTGCCATATTGGTTGTGCTGATAGCCAATGTTTTAAATATTTTAGCTTGTCATATTGGTTGTTCTGATAGCCAATGTTTTGAATATTTTAGCTTGTCATATTGGTTGTTCTAATAGCCAATGTTTTTAATATTTTAGCTTGTCATATTGGTTGTGCTGATAGCCAATGTTTTGAATATTTTAGCTTGTCATATTGGTTGTTCTGATAGCCAATGTTTTGAATATTTTAGCTTGTCATATTGGTTGTTCTGATAGCCAATGTTTTTAATATTTTAGCTTGCCATATTGGTTGTGCTGATAGCCAATGTTTTGAATATTTTAGCTTGCCATATTGGTTGTTCTGATAGCCAATGTTTTGAATATTTTAGCTTGCCCTATTGGTTGTTCTGATAGCCAATGTTTTGAATATTTTAGCTTGCCCTATTGGTTGTTCTGATAGCAAATGTTTTGAATATTTTAGCTATATTTTAGCTTGCCCTATTGGTTGTGCTGATAGCAATGTTTTGAATATTTTAGCTTGCCCTATTGGTTGTGCAGATCGTCAATGTTTTAGTACCGGATGTATAAAATGCCAACCAGGTTATTGTAGAGCTTATGTAAGAAGGTAAGTTAAAGTTATCGACAAGATATTGCTACTTCCTTATTAAAGGGACAGATTCGCCATCAGTTTCACAGATCATACTTTAGTCCCAACTAATTATTAATTGTGTTCACAGCTCATCGTCGAAATTTGAGCCTTCAAGTATATGTGTGTCCAGAATTATCTGCGTTTGAAAGTTCTAACGACTTTTTTTAAAACTCTGCATTATACACAAAAGACATATATAAAAATAGAAAGAGAAAATTCTAGTTTGAGTTATTTTTGAAGGAATTAGTACTCATTATAGTACAATAGAGACAACAGGTTTAATACGATCTTGATATAACTCGGTATGTATGCATATATTGATGAGATCTCGGTCAAGTTCGAAATTGGTTACAATCGGATGATCAGTTTTAGATTAATTGCCATTGACTTAGTAAAACGCGTCAAATTTGGCTTGGAGACATGATAGGAGCTACATTTTTTTCCCGATCTTGAAGAAACTTGGTATGCATGTATATATTGATGGGATTGGTAATAATCGGATGATTATTTTCAGAATGGGTGTTTGTGTACCAGAGAGTCACTGTGGCGAAGGAAAATATTGCTATAGTTCACCTCTTGGATCATTTTGTACTGGTAAGACTAGATTAATTACACATATCTTGCATTCGACCGGTCTTCTGATATGGATGCTTCAATGGACTGAATTTGCAATAACGGCAGGAATGGTGCAACCGTGCAAATTGATGCCAGCAGTGTCCTGATACACTTTAACCTGGTAATTTGATATAGATGCCTTCTACGAACTGCGATAATGTCAGTTTTCTGTGGTATATTATATTTCAGCATGTAGAGACAGTAACTGTAGTTATTGTATATTATATTTCAGCATGTAGAGACAGCAACTGTAGTTATTGTATATTATATTTCAGCATGTAAAGACAGTAACTGTAGTTATTGTATATTATATTTCAGCATGTAAAGACAGTAACTGTAGTTATTGTATATTATATTTCAGCATGTAAAGACAGTAACTGTAGTTATTGTATATTATATTTCAGCATGTAAAGACAGCAACTGTAGTTATTATGTATTATATTTCAGCATGTAAAGACAGCAACTGTAAGAGATGTTCCAGTGCCAACAACTGCCAGGAATGTAAATATAGATATGAATTAGAAAACGGAGAATGTAGACGTAAACTGTTTGGATAGATTCATATTTCAGATGAAATTAAAATTTTGTTAAAGAAACATCAACTAATAAATATATCACTATATGTCACATAATGCTTGTATATTTCATCATGTATGGATTTATAATTTTTGTCTCCACTCCCCTCCCCAACGCCCTTTTGTTTACATAATGATAGTAAACCCTGTGTCACAGCACTAATTACTAATTAAACCTTCACTTTAGGCTTTAACCACTTGATATATATGAAGCAAACCTTTATTTATTACATGACAAAAGACCGTATGCAGCGCTCTTACTTTGACTAAATTGAACTTTGGCTAAAGTCGAACTGTACAAAGTTAGGATAAAGGCTTTTATTTTCTACATTTGATAGTCAAATTTAAGCACGACTTTCATAAAGATCGACCGGTGCATACCTAAAGTTCGACTTAAATCTAACTTTAGTCAAAGTTTCTGTAAAGTACGAGCGCTGCATATGGCCCTTTGACTCGTTGTAATATTATTAAAACAAAATAAATAGACAATTCTATGGATAGATACTTCCGGTATATTTATTATTTTAACGTTTCAATGTGGTTGTCACACCGTCACCAGGAATATAATATGAAGTAATAAATATACCAGAAGTATCTATCCATAAAATTGTCTTATTTATCTATATCTTGTGCTTCTAATATGCCATTGAAAGATTATTAAAACAGTAATTGTTACTATTTAGTGTATTATTAATAAACCTGTTGACTAACTTTATGATTCATATTCGATTATTCACTCCTTTCTAACACAAATGATGTAATCGTTATTTCTCAGTGTTATTAATAAATTAGTGTTTGTTGACAAATGTCAAGTCTTTTATTTGCAGTGCTGTAATTTGATCTTCTTTATTTCCGCGAATGTCATTGGGATATTTCACTTTCTGAATATAATACCATCGATGGGCTTTGGTCATATTGGTGGCCGTGATTGTACAAATTCGGATGTTTCGGCGTTCCTTGTACGTATTTGTTCGACCATTAAACGCTTTACCAAACAATTGCCGGCATGCTCCAATCTTTCCTCTAACTCGTTGGATAAGGCGGTAGGTCATCCTAGTTTGATGACTATTAAGGCCAGTCCATCTCAATTTTTGTCTTTCAGTCTCCCATTCTCCCGTCTTTTACTTGGCTACAAAGTGTTTAGCCACGACAAGAACGCGTTGAAAACACATCTGAAGGTCTGAAAGGTCTTTGAACTGTTTAAATGGAATGAAGGCTGGTGACTTCAAACCATGATGGTTTACCATTATTTTCATATAATCTGTTTGACTGCATTTTATCAAATCGGCAATTTCTTCTATCAACTTCTTGAAAGTGAAAAATAGCCGCCTTGGAACATCGTGATGTTCAATTCTTGACCAGTCTTGCACGACGTCTTTAATTTTCCGACTACGGGAATTTCCACCATTTTTAGACCTGTGACGTCAGCGCCAACTAGCGGTTTTACTCATACAGGCAGGCTCATTACTATAACATAGTATACTGAAAACCTGCGATTTTCTGGGAATCAACACTTCCAAGAAAAGTGGAGGAAACACAGTAGAGGGAAATTAGTCGAGGTACAAAGTGCACCCGACCAGTTTAAACTTAATACAATCTAAATGTAAGTACTTATATTTATTCTTTCGTAGTGTAAAATGTCAAATCAAATCGTAATTATGAATACCAACCTTTGAATATGTTTTTACACAGAGAATCGTTAAAATATCAAGGTTTACACTAACTTATTTGTCACGTTAGTGATGTATTATTACTTTGGTGTCGTCGATTGAACTTGAAAATTCTATATTATTGATACCACCACTCTCACCTAACCCTAAACTCTCTGTTGATTTGAAATTGTAACAAAACTGTATTTTGTTTTGGATTTGTTGAAAAAGGCATATTTCATAACCTGATTTTCGGTTTCATATAATTATTTGTAATATTTCTATCGCAAAATTGAATTGTAAAAACTTTTTTTTAATTGATAATACACAGAGGTTAATCATAGATTAGCCACTTTTGTACTTCATTTAGGTGCCGGATTGCGGGTTATTGAGGGCCTTATTCAATAAAAATAAGTTTATCCTTTCTTGTGACGCCCAATATATAACATAATATAACACTTTCAATTTTAAGTCAACTATATCTTAATAAAAACTCTACAATAGGCCTGCAAAATTCTTCATTGGATAAAGTCGTCTAAATATTTACATTCTCTGGTGAAATAAATACCCAATATTAGCTGGTGAAATAATTACCCAATATTATCTGGTGAAATAATTACCCAATATTAGCTGGTGAAATAATTACCCAATATTAGCTGGTGAAATAATTACCTAATATTATCTGGTGAAATAATTACCCAATATTAGCTGGTGAAATAATTACCCAATATTAGCTGGTGAAATAATTACCCAATATTAGCTGGTGAAATAATTACCCAACATTACCTGGGGAAATAATTACCCAGTATTGGCTTTCAGAAACTCTTTTGAAATGATATCCGACGTGTCACTCATCTACGATTGGGGGAAACGTACGGCGGGAGTTAAGATCTCAGAAGTAATTATATTGTCAATATTTACACGTGCTATAAGACTGTACATTGAGTAATCGTAACTCATACGCAATCTCATTAAAAAAAAGGACAATAGCAAATTCAAAAGTCTGCTTATATGTGTCCTCAAGCTCAAACAACGCATTACATGCTTTAAAATCGGAAAAGAGACACATACGATTATACAATACAGTACAATACAGACGAATACATTATAATGGCCCAGTGAGTGATTTTGTGCGTTTGCTGACAGCATGACATCAATACTGTGAAGAATCTTTCTCTCCTGCCTTGTTTACTGTCCAATACCACACTGTTTCCTTTAAACATTGGTGGTTTTGCGGAATCATCGTACGGACATATATTATCATGGTTGGAGTGGGAGTTGGAGTTACGCTTACGTACACATGTAACCGCAGCTTTACTCGTTGTGACAAATTTAAAACTTTGAATTTATTTTATTTATTATGGTCGATTGCAATAAATGTGTCTTGCCCCTGACACAACGGTTAATGATTCTGTCGCTAAGAAATTAGATTCATTAGGACAGTACATAGTTCGATACGCTCGAAAACACACCCGATCAATTTGAATGATGATGTACAGTTTAAGCATGGGGTAGGTAAAGTCGGGGTAATCAGCCTGTCGAATCCAGGGTTAGATGTAAACATACTCGCATGACCTTTTTCAATTTTTAAAGAGTGAATCTATCATCTATTGTTTTTTTAGATGTCTGATTGGCTACCAGGAGTATCGCAGTTAAAATCGGCGATTCAGTTGTTATGTGGTGATGCAGAAGGTGCTAAGAAAACTCAAGAAAACTTTTCTAGACAATGCCCCGTGGTATCACAACTACGGTCTACGATTGAATTAGCTAACGGCGATGCAACTGCTGCTCTTCAGACTCAAAAGGAATTTTTAGCAACAGTCAATGAAGTTGCGAATCAAGTCCCGATTGTAGGACATGTGAAAGGTATGGTGCATTATGCAATGGGTGATAATGATGGTGGAGATAATGCTATGAAGTCGTCGTCTCGGACAGTGGGTGTATTGGCCGGTGGTGCTGGAGGGGGTTTTGTTGGTGGGCCTGTTGGAGCTATAGTGGGTGGAATTAAAGGCGGCCTTATAATGGATGGTGTAACTACCGCAGTTGATTCACGAATTCATGGTCACTACAGGCCCACAGGCTATATTGAACAGTTTCATGAGATAAAAAAAGACCCAACAAATTCTGGTTTATGGTTTGATACTGCTGTTTCTGGAGTTTTAGATGGATGGACTGGTCTTGGAGAACATGCTAATAATTCGACAAAACTTAAAGATAAAAGAAATAAGGTTATTTATCAATCACCACCGATCTCAGAAGAGCCGAGAGAAATTAAATCCAATTTGTACAATCGTAAATTCACAGGATCTGATTCTATTACTGATGTCAAAATCGACGATGATACTGATAATATTGCTGCTAGTATTGTTGGTATTGGTACAGGTGCTGTAGCTGTCCTTGCTTTGAACAAATAAAAAGAATCTGAAGTAACAAATTCCTGAGTGCTGTGATTGAATAAAGTTTGTTTACTGAAAGGTTTCATATTATTACTCATTAGTTATTAAGGGCCATCGAATATTTTTATTGATATCTTTAACTAATATCTTTTCTTCATCCTGCTAGGATATTTACGACATTGTTCTGACCCATTCTTGTCAGTTGACATAGAAAGGGGTTGAATTTCATGAAATTAATTACACAGATAGAATGATCAAATAAAAAAGGCTGACGGGATAACGAAACCCCAAAAATTGCTCTTCTTTGAAGTAAACAGACAGAGTAACAATACGAAAACTGGTTTAACGAAATCACCTCTTGCTTCCGCTGAAAATTACACAGACCCGAATTGATAATCTACCAACAACCTGGGAAGTTACCGGAAGTGACGTATTTTCGCAAAGTTTTGA